TCTAACCATGTTCTAGAAGGGTTAGAAATCTGAAACTTCGTACACAGGAACCTTTTGGGATGCTGAGTTCAGAAAAAAATCCTTGGAGGTACACGCCCTGGGGGTACAACTTTCGAGGGGAAACGTTTTTCTTAAATATATTTTGTGACAGACGAGGGTGGGATTCAGAGAGTCAACTGGATGTGCTGGGTTCGGTGGTATAGTAGTAGTATATAGTAGTATCTGACTGGCAATCAGAAGGCTCGGGTTAAATTCCCGGGCATTCCCTGGCTTTCTTCTGGCTTTTTTTTTTCTTCAATGTCCCGTTACTCATTCCCCCTCCATAACATTATTTTTGCTTGAGTAAAACATAGAGACATGGAAAACTGAAACTTTGCATCAATGTGACGACTGAGACATGGAGTTAAATGAAAATGCTAAGTCTTGATTCATCCCCTGTGGAAATTTTTTCGAGGGGCGATGTTTTGAAAACAATTTCGTCGTGGCGAATTGGACAGACATAGAAAGGTGAAACATGGCACACGGATAAGTGACATGATATTACTGAGATGAGGAAGTATTCAGCTTTCCTAGTGCATCCCCTCCGGGCATAGCGTTAGGGTGGGTCGGCTTTTCCAAGCATGTTTTTTCACCAGCGAAAAGGGCAAATTTATAATATTGAAACGTTGTGGGCACGTAGTTCACTGAGGATGGATTTCGGTAAGAAAAAAAGGTACGTTTCGGTTAGAATGGCTCAGGGCACATATTTTGCAAAAGGCGTGTTTTCAAGAAATTTTCTAATCAAGGAAAACAGAGGGCGCATGAAAGTTAGACAACTTGCAAATAAGTACCTGATGGCTAGCTGCGTAAAGAAAAAATTCCACTTTCCTAATATATATAGGCGATCGTCACTGACTGACGCTAATTTAAAAAGGGGAAATGTATGAGGTTGAAACGGGGTGGCATAGAATTCCGTGAGTCTCCTTTTTCGCAGAAAACAAATTTTTCCTCTAAACCCCTTCAGGACTCTTTTTGTAAGTCCCATTTTCCTGAATATTTTTTTTGATCCAACGAAACAGATACAGAAAATTTAAACTTCCCTCAGAAGTTCCTGTTTGATGCATTTAGAACAGGAAAAATCCTACTTTTGAAGTATGTCTCCTTAGCGTAGATTATTGATGGGAAGTATTTAAAGATTTATTCGCCACCCTTACTAAAAGGGACACAAAAAAGATTTAAAGTTAGGTACACATAGAATCATAAACGTAAAGAGTTTCATAAAAATCAAGGCTTTCGACCCCATCTGTCACGTATTTCAATGGGGACGTACTTTAAATATGCGTTTTCCATTTCGCAAAAAATGAATGAATTAATGACTACCCAAGGTAATTGAGTGCCGAAGGCGCGACCATAGCGAGTTTGTTCGCCCGAAGGGCAAACAAACTCACTAGTTAGAGATATACCTCGTATATATGACGATCGGGACAGACAGACTGACGTTAATTCTAACCATGTTCCAGGAAGGTTATAAATCTGAAACTTGGTACAAAATAAAATTTTGGAATCAATAATTCAGAAAAAAATCCAACTTCGGAGGTACATGCCCTGGGGATACTAATTTTGGGGGGAAACGTATTTCTTAAATATATTTCGTGACAAATGAGGATGGCATTCAGAGAAGCAACTGTATGCATTGGGTTCGGTGGTGTTATTGTAGTACATCTCATTAGACAATTAGAAGTTCCAGGTTCAATTCCCTGTCATTCCTCGGCTTTCCTTTGGCTTTTTTTGTCTTCCATGTCCCGTTACTCATTTCCCCTCCATAACATTATTTTTGCTTGTGTAAAACGGAGAGGCATGGGAAGCTGAAATCTGGCATGGAGGGGCCTACCGAGACGATGAGTTCAGGAAAAATGCACAATTTTAAATCCATGCCCTGGAGTTTATTTCTTGGCGCTGACGTTTTCAAGTATTTCTTTTTTGTCCTGGCACGTTGAGCAAGTTTGGAAAGATGTAACTTGGTACATTACGACTTATAACATAATTACCTAACTATACACATTTTTTATGATGTCATATGATGGCGAAGAACCTTAATTCATTGATCACATTCGTGCCATTAGGTTTCGAGCTCACGATGCTAGAGCTGAATTCGTTACCCGTTCATGGGTTTCGAAAAATATTAAGCCTTCAGCTTCTGTCTGATTAAGCCTCGTTTTTCAAATCACGCTGAAAGACTTGGGGATGGTTTTTTTTTCGGAAAAGGGAAATGGCCAGGAAACCCTCCTGATCTGAATGCGACTGAGACCATTGAAAGGCCGAGCTGAGGCTCATGCACATGGAGGGCAAGCAGCATGGATTCCCTCGGGTAGCCTTGAAGTAAGGAAGGTAATGAAGTTAAACGCGTCGAGGAAAGTTGAATGTGCTTCATGGGGGCGTCAAAATCGAAATTAAGGAACGTCAAATGCGTCCTTATTTTCTCATGCTCACTCGCAGATGCATTTACATTTGACCTCACTGTTGCATTCCTGGTGCTGTCATTGACTTCTTGCCATATACTGTAAAATGAAAATTTCCCACCGCAAGTGATACTATTCAGATCCAAGATGCATCCAAGCAAGTCAAATGCGAATGGAGTTGAAATGCGAGACTGTCAGGGATTGAAGTTAAAGGATTCATAATAGCTTCAGGGCAGCAGGTCATAAAAAATCAATGGAAACTCAAGTGAGACTTGTTTGCTGGTTTGCGGGAGTGCTTGGATCTACGATAGCGTAGTTAAATTCATTGTTGAAGCGACACATTTCCATCCCATTCAAGGCAGCAAATTCGTGGAACTTCCTGATGCGCTCAAGTCCATGCGTTCCATCATCAATGTTTGATTATCCTGTCAAATGTAGAAATCGTGAAAGTGTTGAGGGTTGCAGGAAGTCTCTTTGCAGAAAACGATGTCCAGGGACTCACGTTTCCCGTTTCACCTGCGCAAGGGTCTCACTTTGAAAAACAAAACGGGCGTGTTATCACAATCCTAAGCTATGAATAGGCGAAAGAGGAACAAGATAGGGTGGACATCATATACTCTTCGCCAAAAAAAAATTCACAAGAAGAAATTGAGCGATCTTGATGAAAATCGGTAATCATGCTCGCATTAGTGTGTCATGTAATTGTTACTAGTTTCAAGGTCGTAGATTGAATATTACCATAACAAGTTGCCAAACATCACAATTTAAATGGGGTCGGAGGAGTCGCACTTATAACCCACCATGAACATCTGGAATGACTTTATTAATGACATGCGAAACAGGAACTTCTACAGATGTTTACTACAATGGAGCAAAGTTATTGCAATCATTAAGTTGTATTATGATAATCTGCTGCTTGTTTTCACTGTCAGGGTCGTGCTCCCTATTCCTCATTTTCGCCATTTGGTTGCAAATTTTATGGTGATTTTCTGTAAGATTGCGGATTTCCCCTCCCTTATGTGCGGAACTACAATTAAAACAATGATGGTTCCGATGAGGGATTGTGCTCACCGCATGCAATCCTCTCAGTACCGAATTCCGAGATTCCTTATACATAATATTTTACTTCATTATGTTGCAACTATGCCACCAACACTGTTTCCTATCACCTTAAGGAGGTGAACCGTACTATCGCAGATATGTCACTCTGGCACGCATGAAGCTAACTTAGTTAAACCGTAGAACTGTTGCGGTTTCATGACAGTCTTGAGCTTGTTTAGTGAACGTGGCACCGTTACAACCGACTCTTCCAGCTTTTTTCAAATTCTCCATACGTTGAATGTTGAATTTCCGTAGTGGATGAAGTTTGAACGTAGTTAGTTCCAACGCGATCGTCCGTTCGGGATAAATTTTTTACATGTACGCTTTTGACTCCTGATTTGTTGAAAATCTTTATCTTTATTTAATTTTTTTTAATGCATGTGGTCCGTAGTGGTGGTGGTCAGCAGCATGAGCGGGTGCATATACATGACAAACGCGTGGCCACAGCGCGATCGATGGAGGGCTCTTCCTACATAATTCCACGGACGCTTCATTCACCGATTCAAACTTGCTTTGCCATTTTTCTCGTCGACACCCTTAAATATCCAACCTCATGAAAACGAGGAATAGTCCTTGGCACACCGGGGTCATGAAGACAGACCCGTTTTGAGATGTCTCAAAGACGAACTCTGAACACGATGCCATTCAACTACAGCAGCACACTGACTTTGATTAGCCATAACTTGGTTGAGTGCCGACTGATCACGATGAAAATTTCAGCAAATGATGAAAACAAATGGGTTTGAAAAGCACCTAATATGAAGCAAGTGCATGAAGTAAAATGCTGAAAATGAAATGCTAAAGTGTCTACAGAGTTTTGCCTCACTCTGTAGAAGGTAGAAACGAACGCCAGAGGATTCGACGAAATCATGAGACAACAACGAAAGAACAGGCACAACAATTGTTTCAGGACAGAGGTCGGCAAGGTCCCGATGGGCGGTACAGTGCCGGTTCCAACGGATGTGCTACAATAGTATTTTCCCCATGCGATGCCAATGTTGTCACAGCAGCAAAATTATACGTGCGTCATTGGGAATTTCAACCCACGAACGGCGATTGTAGCCAGACAGTATTTACTGACGAGACCTTCTGACGACTATTCAGAGATGCAAGTTGTCGGTGGTCAAAGAACCTAAAAAGCGAACCTCTATTGCATACATTCTATTCAACACATGACGGTTATGTATTACCACAATTTCATGAAAAAAATTCTTCATTTCTCATTTCAGTAGTTTAGCTCAAATCTTGAAATGAACAACCGTGAAGAAAACCGGTGCTTATTTAGGGTGCTTTCAGATGCTCGCAGAAGTCAGGGCCGTTGATGGGCTGAGCAGGGAAGCCTCGACGGCGGAGACGGCACCGGTGCTCGTTCATCCTGGAAGCGAGGAAGTCCCCGTCTTGCGCTTCCCTCGCGGACCACAGTCGCTCCGCTGCGACAGATCCTCGCGGCCACAGTCGAGAATGGACGTTCGTGGAATCCGTGAATTCTCCCCACATGCAGACTTCACCGCCGAGGACGAGCCGTTTCTGGGCAGGGGTGCCTGGGAAGTTCTCTGGGTCGCACTTGTAGTATTCCTCCCAATCCGTTCCGTATGAGATGTAGTCCAGGTACCAGCAAGAAGAGAGGAGTGCTGGATTCCCAGCTAGTGTAACCTGAGTACAAATAAAAATGCATTATTTTTGCTCTGTTGGTACTGATATCAACATATGAACATCTTATATGTACAATAGGAACATTGTAAAGGTATGATCAGTCGACCAGTATTGGTAATCAAAGGTATTCTGGTGAATTTTCTATCAACAGACGAAGCAGCTCTCACATTCGATTGCTTTCCTTCGGAACGTAATGCTTAAGTGTATTCTGGAGTAGCGATCGAAATTTCGACAGTTTCCATGAGATGCAACTTTCCCTGTAAGGTAGTGAGGCATAGGGAGAGTTGGTCTCTGGGTAGGTGAAATTCGTCAAATTACTGTAAATATTTTTTCTCATTGCCGACGGCTACATACTCACCTGAGCCATGTCATTCTCCCACTTTTCCTTCCAAATCTGAACGACGGCGTCGGGATCCAAGGGAACTTGGTTGTCGAAAACCTCCTGCCACACCATGTAGTTCTTCTTCTTGGATGAGATGTCATCGAGCAGTTTAAGGAGCCTTCGGAAGTAATAGCCCTCCAAGCCCTCGTAATCCGAGATGTTGTGCTTCTTCATGAAATTCCTGATATTTTCATCCATGCTCCTGCAAAGGAAAAAAAGTGAATCGCAATAGATGGCGCATTCCTTCACTTCAGGCAACAAGTAGGTAGTTTGTTATAGGCCATAATAAAGGACTACCTTTCAAAAGCGGCTACTTTCCTAAATGCGATGGTTATAGGGAACGGAAGGATTCGGAAATTGCAAATGAACGAAAAGGATTGATCTCTGGAATAGCAAACTAGACGTGTTCTAACGGACAACTCGTCCAAATTTTAAAGAGAACAAACACGGATGTTTTCTGGGGAAAATGCTCTCCACATAATAGCATAATAGCACCTCATATTCTGTATATTCTGTCTGTTCCATTGTTTTTTTTCGTTCCTTTCTTCCAACATTTTATCCATGCATACAGGGCGTCCGGATTGGCCGGATTTCCAGCCAAGAGATTCACTGTCACTTACCAGCAGCGGAAATCCACTTCGTCTCCTCCGAGGTGAAGAAACTGGTCGGGGAAGGTTTCGAGGACCTCGCCGAAAAACTTCCAGAGGAAGGCGTAGTTCTCCTCGCGGCTGGGGTCGATGGGCCCGTACTCGGGCAAGTCCTCCTTCGCGGCCCAGGAGTTCCCGGCCCCGCAGGGGGTGAGGAATCCCGGCAGGTCCCGTCCCCACGACTGCGTATGTCCTGCCAAACGAAGGGGAACTCGGCGTGAGAAGAGAGCACGAGGAGAATCGTATAGATCTCTGGAAATAGAGGCCTTCATAACTTTGTCTCTTTGTAGACTAATGTACTTTAAATGTCTACGTTTCGAATTTTATACATCGCAGGACAGCACAAATTTTAATTTGCAACCCCGAGCGAAATGCCGAAGAAGGATATTGCCTTAATGCGTCGAGAACGGCGTCTTTTCGCCCTTCTAAGCAAAGCCAAGTTCTTTCAAGCCACGCCAAGCCCCTATAAGACAAGCTCATCCACGTGTTTCTTGGCATATCGCAGGAATAATAATACACCGGTCCTTCAAGTTCGTGTCGCATTATCTGCCTTGCTGACATGGGAAATTCCACTTATTATAGAATCATGTGGTGATAAATTCATATGTTTCTCATTTCAAAAACGCTCAAGCTGTTAGCCGTTATTTATTCTCTACTGTATTTTGACACAATTTAGGTTCAGTGTTTGATTTTCTCGGAAGAAAAAATCGCTTAGCACATAGTTACGCGACGAGCCACATTTCCCCATTGTTGCCGTTCTCGACCTGAATTCCATTGAATAAATACGTTTTCCAGACCAGGTGTGTCGAATTCAGGTACAACTCTGATTCCTCTTCGCCTCGCGTACTCCAATATATCCTTGAGATCCTTCCTCGTGTAGACAAGTTCTTGTCCGTATGATCCGCTCTTACTGAAATAAAAAGCGGGATTCAGTGATTTTCTAAGGAGGTGCTTAATTAGTCGCTGATGGATTTTGCGAGGACCTGAGGAAGGGGAATCGGGCGGACTCGTAGGGGAAGGAGTTGTCGTCGACGATGTGCCAATGAAAGACGTTGAGCTTGTTCATCGCCATCAGGTCCAGCGTCTCGAAGATGGTCGTCTTGGGCAGGAAATGGCGGGAAGTGTCCAGGAGCAAGCCTCTCCAGGGGAAGCGGGGCCAGTCCTCGATGAAGGTCGTGTTCACCAGAAACTAAAGAAGAAATTGGGGTGTTAGGAAAGTCGAAATTCCATCGTGGAGTCCTAGGTTCATTAGGGAATTTCACCTGGCAGTCGTGATAATGGACGATCTGGCTGAAGGTCTCGAGTCCACGGAGGATCCCCCAGATGCTCGATGCAGACAAGGTCGCTCCTCCCTTCGCCTTGTCTGTATTCAGCTGCAGTAGATCTGAAGAAAAAAAACCAATTAAAATTGATTCTGAATTGAATGTATGATGAAGAATGAGTGGGTTAGTGACATTTCTCGTCCATGCGGACGGGCGGCCATTCCTCGCACGGAGACTGAAGATGGATGTCGATCTGCTTGAGGCAGTCGCCCCCGTCGCAGGTCGCCTCCACGTTCTTGCACGGCTTGAAGTTCGCCGGCTTGAAGATGAGCGTCTTGTAGCGCTTCACCGCGTCCTGCAGCGTCTCGCACTCGTTCTCAATGATATTGAAGTGGAAGCTCCTCGGGTCGATCCTCAGGGTCGACTCCGCGGTCTGGTAGACCCTCGGGAGCGGGATGGGCCGTCCCCGCGACGACGGGTGCCACGGCCCGAACCCCCCCTTGTTGAAATTGGGGCTCGAGTACCGGGCGTGCGAGAGATGGGCCGTCAGCGCCAGGGCGACTGAAAGCCAGGCTGTCAGCGGTTTCATCGTGGCAATCCCTGTCTGCTTGGAATTATCTTGGAATCGTAAATATCGTGTCCGATGTTTTTAAATATCCTACCACTCTTTATATCTAACGACTAAAATTTTAATTATATATTTCAAATATCCTAAATTATAGACTTCGAAAATATCATGAAATTGTATTTCACATGGCACAGTGATACTGCTCAGTCGGTGAGGAACGACAGCCTTTAAGAAGTCCCTAGGCGAACGGCTTCATCTGACATTGCATGCATATACTTGCTCTTCACAATATTATGAAATCGGGAGAGAGAAAATGGAATGCAAGATTTCCTCCTATTGCAGATGAAAGGCTGACTTAAGATCAGTGAGCGAGGGCTTAAATTCCACAAAAAGCCTCAAGAGCGACAAGGCACCGTGTTACATGCAGCCTCAAGAAGAAACTCATAACAATTAGCCTTTTCGCGACTCCGGAGGCTCCGTCCATTCCACGATCGCTGGTGGCAGGGATTCCAATAAAATCGGAAGTATGTGAAATGTGCTTTCACGAAGGGACATATTTATTTGTCAATTGTAATAATTAATAGAGCGTGAAGGAAACGATGGAAGTAGCAGACAAGTGTTCACACTGGTATGAATCTCTCATGAATGTTGTCGCTCTTTTTTTGCCTAATGCTTAACGTTCGTTGCGTCATTCGCTCTGCCAGCAAAACTTGTTCCCCGTGGGTCAAACTATTTAGGGAAAAACAGGCTCCACACATGTTTTTTTCCCGTCCTCATTTCGTCACATGTGCTGAGGGGTAATTAGCGAGCAAAAAGGATTTCTTCGCAGACATGAAAAGGAAGAACTTTTCTTCGAGCGCCCTTCGCGTCCTCATCCTGGGCAATCGATCGAAGCCGAGTGCTTTATCGTGTTGCGCTAAATTATGCAGCGACCTTCGAGCGATCGGTGCGGTGACAGGAGAAGTGGAATCGGCTCGGCTGCTTCAATTGAGCAGGTCGTCTGATGTGCATCATGCGCAATGGTATATACGCTTGTCATTGGAGAACTGGTTTGCGGGATGGTATGCTGTCGCCTAAAGCGATAGACAATCCAGCAAACAAGTGAAGAATGAGAAGAACAAACTAAGCTAATATAGATCAGTGTTAGCTAATTGGCATGTTAGCCCAGATTCAGGAGATTCTCCGGAAGCGTCGCGACACATACGCAACCCCGTCACATCCCTCCCGTCGGCAACGAAGGCAGCCCACGACCTTGAAGCGACAGACGAGATGGCGCCCACGTGCGCCGAGAGGCTAAGGAACGAGATTTCCGACCTTCCTCCATCCGTGTGCGACTGTTGCCACCCGAGCGGGTCTCGAAGCGACCCGGGTGCGAGGACTGCTTGCGTAATGGCTCGATGGAAATGGCCATCATCATGCAAATGGTCGTCATCATTATTTTCGATGCCAGACGATTTTTTAATATTTTTACCGGGTTCGTCCGCAACCGTGATTTCATCGCGCCGTTTGAATTGCGTTTACCTTCCGATGCACTGGGTGCAATCAAGTTGTCCCCAATGCCTCATTGGCTTTAAGCGTCAGAGGGAAGCAAATATAAGGCGTCCGCACCGAAAATGCGAGATACGTCAGCTGTGGACAGGAAATCGGCAAGGGGGGGGGGGGTTGAGGCCAGGTAGACGCCCCAACCCTACGCCTAGCTCCACTACCTGGATTTTTCCTTTTGAAAGAAATCATGGCCTGGCATCTTGGGTCTGTGGACGGACATCAGACATTCCTCAATGGGAAATACTAAAATTGGAATCCCCAAGGAAGGTTGAAATATGCCTGTCAGTGTCACTGACTGGGAAGCCCAAGGGGGGGGGGGGAGGTTCTAACCCCCTAAACCCCCCCTTCCCTACGCCACTGTACGTCAGACTGTCAACTCTTCAGAACTATTTTCCTTCGGAGTTTAATTATCTGATTTAGGAGAGAAATGGAGAATTTAAAGATAATTTAATTGAATTAAGAGAGAATGAATAATTCCACCTCGCGTGGTGGAACGAATTCCTTTTACATGAATTCTTTCACGACCGATTCGAAAATCTGGACAAGATTTCTACGCCTTCGCATTCAGTTATGGTGATGGAGCACCGGCGGAGCACCAGTGGAGCACCGGCGGAGCACCAGTGGAGCACCCGGCACCTCCGTGAGAGTCACCGGGGTCCCAGGATGATCCACGGGGATCGGGACCGGATGTCCAACGAAGAAGGATTGCATCCGCGTGATTTTGCGACAGAAATTCGAGTATCGAATTTCCTGCTACTTAGTTAAATTAGTTGGGAGTAATAGTAGTAGTGAATCGGTCGGTTGACTCTCTGTAATAGAATTTCGAATTCAGAAAGAAATACCCAATTAATACCCTATTGAAAGAAATGATTTTCACGGGAGAAACACGCACGTGACCAGCTTTCTTCCGACTGTCTCAGATTGACTCGAGATCACCGAGTCGCCCATCGCAACTGCGACTGTACGGCTGCACTAGGCAGTACTATTGGCTCCCTCGCCCTCGACACGGCTGCGTCGGGGGGGGAGGGGATGGGGGAGGGGGGAGGGGATGGGGGAGGGGGGAGGGGGCGCCGATTGGATTCCTCCGCGTCCGTGACATTCACCAGGCGTCGGGGAACGGCTTTCATGGGGTTCGTCGTCCCGAGGAAGGTCGTTCGTGGAGATGGGTGTGTCGATGCGTATCGGCCGATGAAGGGTTGTGCGATTCCGTCACCGACCTCACCGAGTGAGAAAATCAGGGAACCGTCCGTTTCTCCAAGCGGAAAAACAATGCTGGGCACATTTATTCAGGCCAGAGAAAATTCCGTCTCCGACAACGCCACTGACTGGTTTGGAAGAAAAAAATGCGGTTGAAAAAAAAGTGAGACCTTCGGGCAACCTGCTCTGGGATGCTCGGCACGACCGCCAAGGGTCGGGTTTCGGGTTCAACGCCTCTTCCATCGCGTGTTCTTCGGGGTCGGTCGCGTCCTGGCGGGGGTCGGTCGCTGGTATCAACTGCCGCGGGAGCCGAACGCGCAGCCGCTCTTCCTCTATATTACTCGATTTAATCTACGCAGTTCATAGGTGGAACTTGGTGATTGACTCCTTGAACAAAAGGAAATCATTCGACATTATTCACGGGCAAGAACAGTGTTAGGATTATGCATCTTTGCGTTTCCGGTCATTTTAATATATCATTTCAAGAGGACGTTTCAAGCAATCAATTGAAGCGGTCGTGAATCGCGTCGGACTGATAATGAAATTGCGCACTCTGAATCCTGCATGCGAGATTCCGGGATGGTTCCAGTCCGTAAGTATTGCCGAACTTACGGTCCGAAGACCGTAATATGCCAGATGACAGATATAGAGATGACCTTTTTCAACAGCCTCTTCATCGGCAGGAATCCACAGCTTCCTCTGAGTGATCATCACAGGTGGAAGTCAATTTAACGTTCTTGTTCTCGGCAACGGTGGAAAATTATGCTTCAGGCAGAACAACAATTTCGTTTCGTAGTTGCGCCTGCTGTGCGACATGCAAAGATAGGCTGTGAATTTGGTCCAAGATTTGGTTTTCCCCAAGAGGAATATCTAGTAGGGCGATCTAATTTTCGTTCTCCGTCGGTTAATTCCTGACGTCATGGTCGAGAAGTGTTCGCTAAATATTTAATTGTATGAAGCGGGCTCATCGATATTCTTCTCATTGAGATACAGGGTGAAGACGCATGCAAACAACTCCTACAAAGAGGAACAATGATGTACCGCGATAGTTGGACCATTAATAGGAAAAGCAAAAGGCGAAAATAATCGAGCGAAGAGATAGGCGCGCCCACTGACAAAGGGCAAATGGCAAAAGGGCAAACACAGGTCAAATGAGACCTGTAGGCTTTTTACGAATGACGGTCCACAAAAAACGTGTGAACGTTTTTGAGGAAGTTCGACCTGTGTTCGACCTGTGCTCAAAGAGATTTTTGGACGTCTAACCGTCGCACCTTCGGGTGTTAAGTTGAGGTGCCGTTTCATCACCAATAACGTTAACTCCGGCTTGGAAGTTGGAGAGAGGGTACGGCTAAATTTCAAAGGTGACTTCATGCGATAGCGATTCCGTGTTCTGACTGCATTATCGCAGGAATCTTTTTGAAGCGGGATAAGAAACTGCTGATCTTATAGAAATATCAGGAACATTTCCAACCAGACTAATTGGTTAACTGATGACCTCTGACCCCTGTTATGGAAACAGGGCTTTACCTTGGCTGAATGACTTCTACGTGATGAAATAATCGATTGCTAGATGATGATTTTATTATAAGATGAAACCCGAAAATTTTTTCACTAAATCATTTTCTTTGCCGTGTACAATTCACGTCCTTGAATTCAGGAAACGCACAAATACAACTATTTTTATCGCTAAGATTTTTGGAAATTTAAGCACTCGATGGAACGTTCCCAAAGTCGTTCACAGACCTTTGGAATACCTTAAATGAAGGACTCAGTGAACATGCAATAAACTTTCGGGTTTTACTTAGCTGATAATCTTTGAAGATCATAATGACTCCCTCCACGACAACGGAGCGCTTTGTTTCCCCCGGTTTGCAGCAAGTATACCTGCATTATTTACATATACATCAAATATTCTATTTCGATCTCGATATTTAGAAATGGTTTTCTTTTGCTTTTTAAGCGAGAGAGGGAGACTGTTGGTGTGCGTCACACTTAGTACGTGTTTCCTACCATAAATAGTTTGCATGCACGGGGTTGGCTTTATGTTCGAATGAAAAACTTTGGTGAGATGTTATGTCTAAATGGTTCATTGAAACCGATTGATAATTTCTAAAATTAAATTTTGAACAAGACATGCGTGAGAAAAAAAATGCCTTCAAAATGTCCACCGTTTGCCTTTGCACACGCCTTCAACCTCGGAATCCCTTGTTCACAAACTTTTTCAAGAGTCTCTCCTGGTATCTTGTCCCACTCCCTGAGTAAGGATCATCTTAAAGCTTCCAAATTTATTGCAGGCTTCTTTGCCTCTACGATGGGGCATATGGAGTAATCCCATGGGTTTAGGTGCGGCGATGGTGATGGCCATTCTTTCCACTACATGAAATCCAGAAGTTCCTTCTGGCACCACTCTCGAGTCATCTTCGCCTTGTGAGCTGCTGCCGAGAATTGCAGCAGCATTCATTGGGCTCCCTCGAGTAAAATACGATTCAAGGGTTTCATGACTGGCTGATGCGGGAAGTAGCATTGGTTTTCACTCCAGGTGGCATAAAGGCCTAGTGCGACCACAAAAGTATGCTCCAGTAAATATCATCAGACTTGAAGGCTTCTGTGTCTTTAGGACCCCCAAAATTTCATCTGGAATAGCAGATTTGTTGGTCGCATAGACATGATTGTTTTGGGAGTTGTTCTTTTCCTCTATGACGAAAAAGCTTCTCATCGGTAAACATTACAGATTTCCACTGGTCACCTGTGAAACTCTTGAAGAAAGCCTCAACTCTGGCCTCTGGAAGCAGTTTCCGAACGAAATTGTTTGGTATTCGTATAGCTAACATTAGGTCCGTCACGAATTCTACATGCCTTGCATGGAAATTCGGCAATGCGGAGCTTCGGCGTGAATGGAGTCTTGAGAGTTAGAACCGTTTCATTATTTTTCCTGCAATCGGGAATTTTATTGGGAAATCCTGGTTAGGCGTCAGCTTTCGTTCAACTTCGGGACACAGCAGGCAGTTTTTCCGTATGCTCCTTGTTTTATTATAAATGCGCACTCAGAGGTCAAAGGTAACCACATTGAAAAGCAAGAGATTTATTACGAGAAACTCCAAGGCCATCCATAAAAATACTTGAAAGGGAAAAAAAACCAAGGGGAAGGCGCTTTCTCAGTCCCACCATCAACGCAACACCAGTTCTTCTGCAAGAATCGAGGAGTAATGCATGAAGATTGAGATTTTGCGTAAGTTGAAAAATCGGTTGCATTCTACACGCACTTGCACACACGCGCGCTCATGCCTATTGCATTGTTGTGTACGGGTAAAGCATGATCAGCCGATACTTAAGCCAAACAATGCCTGATATCTGACGTGAATTGACAGTATCATTATCTCCTTAGGGATTTCGAGGCTTTCAGCATGAGGAGGCCTCATGAAGTAGTAAACGCTCTATGAGTAGAAGAGGGAAGCACTGACTTATAATTTTTCCTTCCAAGTTTTTGATTCAGGAAACAAAATAAGATAGGAACGTCACAGACGTAAATTACAGATTAGTCTTTCTGTCCACCCTGTAAATTTAGATATTTTAAATCTAAGCTGGTGAAAATGTGTTATCCAATAATGGCTGTATATATTTTGGCGTGGTCTTGTTCTCTTCTAATCACGTGCAGTACTGGTGGGGCAAAATGAAGTGACATGGCGTCCCAAATGAACAATATTGGTTGCACCGATTCACGCTTTGTAACCCAGTACTGATTTCAAAGTTCTCATTCTCCCGTCCCATCCCACATTTGAAGCGGAAAAAGAGGCTCTTGATTTCGCCAGTCAGAATTCCATCCCGGGATTCCTGCCCCTTCTTCCCAAGTGATTGGTATCTTGTGAACTAAGAATAGGCTATAAGTAAATCGTGCAAAAATGCTTTTATAATAGTGAGAGAAACATATGCTTTGAGTGACATGGGGAATGGTGGAAGATAAGGAAGAAAAAATAATTCAATTCTCACCTGGTTTAAGGGGAGGTAATCCCACCAAATGCCTGTCCAGGGCCCACAGCAACGGAACTGTGTGCAAATCCCAAGCCACGCCAACCCTTCCTCGAAATGATATTTTATTCAGGGAGGGCGGGACGAAGCTCTTTCTGTATAACGGAGGCAGTTTCTCCTTCGAGATCCATGGCGCTCGCTCTATAACGAGAAGCGACGAGGTGATGGATGGGTAATGATGAAGGATGATAATCTCGCCAGCCTACCGTGGTGAATTCATTAATACTGTTTCCTCAAAGGAACCATCGTGGCCATATTGTTCATTCAAACCCGAATAAAACACTAACGCAACGGATTGCAATGGTATAATGCACTCTCAACCATATAATAGAGAAGTAACTCAAGTTCCACTGTGAAACTCCCCGATATTTGAAACGTGGCAGTCAATTGCTGTATAACTGGCAGCCCCGTTTGGCAGAAATTAAGGAAATAGGAGTTTCAAGAAGTGCGGAAGTCATGTCCATCTCAATGTCAGGACAAGGTAACCTTCCGAATAAAAGTTCATGTAATATTTTATACACTGTCAGCTTGATCCCTTGACCCTTCCATTATTGAATGTGAAGGAACGCCTTCAGCAAATAAGCCCCAAAATTTAGTCTGAAATATGTAACATTTGAACAGTAATATACTTTTTTGGGACAGGTTTTTGTTCAGGATCGTCAGCTTCATTAAGGCATATTATGAGATAATGCTGAGATATGCAACATAATTTATTTCCAATATCACAAACGAATACTTTTTGCGCGCTTATTAGTAAAGGAAATGTTGAAACGGAAGCTCTGATGGGCTTCTTTGTGGATATGGAATATTGAATAATTGGGTGGAGGAAAGGAGGGATGGTATTGGGCTTTCATGCTGAAGGGACCAGCCCTCCAAGAGGAGTGGGAATGGGAAGGGGACAACATGGAGTGATGTCTCAGGAAAAGACTCACATATTAACCTTTCATCCAACGGAAAAAGAAACGTTGCAGTACGTGTTTCGAGAAACTATACTCGTAATAGAATATAATTCCGGTCTGCAAACCTTGACCCAGAAGATCCAAATGACTTTGCCGGTACAGACGGGACTGATGATTCAGAGGATCCAGACGAAAATGCCGGTAATGAGAATCAAGTCGATCTAGACGATACTGATTATCCTGCCTGAACTGAAGATCCAAACGATCATGACGATACTGACGATACTGTTTATCCACACAATGAACAATTGGATGGACAGAGCGAAAGGAATCATCCCGCGCGAAGAGGAGTATCCCATTCCATTCCATATCACCTCCTCCTTGAGGAAGAAACGTCCCTAGAATAAAAAAAGGATATCACTTAATGTACTTAGTAGAAAGTCAAAAGCTGCAACTTAATTTTAAATTGTACATGTCCTATTGTAAAAATGATTGGATTCCTTGACTTCTTACCATAAATTACTTCATGCCTGGTCTTCTAAACCCACTGGCCTATCTGTTGGCTATAGAAAGGGAAGGTCATATGAAATGTTTTAATAATGGCAGGTTGTAGCGTGACCCAGTGACACAAATACAGGTAAAGTAGCCTAAGCTTTCCAGGTTTGCCTAATATGAATCACTCTTGTGATGTGAAGTGACAAATGTATCTCGAGTCATTCTGGGCTAATGTGGTTGAAAAAGTAGACAACCCTGCATTGCACTCTATTACCTTGTTACATATTGTGACGCATCAGAAACCCAAGATCCTACATTCTCATACATGCGGACGAGAAGGAGTTTACCGGTGAAATTTTGCTGGCGATTCAATTGTCTCAATAACAAATTTAAAAGTTTTACGCCCAAAGACTCATGTTAATAAACTGCTTTAGGAAATATTTGCTGGATATGAAGCAATATAACTCGACCTGTTATTTTAGATAGAGAGAAGAAGGGGTGTGTGCTTGGTGAGGGTTAAACATAATTTCCTATTGCACGAACTGTCCTACTCTTCACAATGTACAAAACATTCGTGTGATGGAGTTGATAGTGTCCAATTCTTAATGTGAATGCTGAGTTGAGGCGAATTCCTGCATTGTTCATCCATATTTTCGACTTTTGCGATAATGTTCAGCTTGACAAGAAAGATGTAAGAATGTAATATGACTCACATGAGGTGCTTTCTCTGATAAGGACAATAGGCCTCTTCAGAAGATCTGATGCAGACTGGATTAAGAGAAGAGTGTCTTCTGTGTTCTCGTCTCCTAATATTTCCTGGATGCAATACCAAAATGTAAAACCTCAACTGCCAGGTGATCTCCAGTTTCTGACTTACGACTATACTGACTCGTGACACTAAGTACTGACCATACATGCCATACCACCAACCTGTCCACTAACTGGGAAGCTGTTTCATGAGCGTTAAACCTGGAATGAATCCTCCCAAACTTTATACTGTATACCGACTTCCTACCGACTCGTGAAACACCTCTTATAAAATTTCCCTAACCTTTTAAAATGGTAATAAAGAATGCCCCAAACGTTGTCCAATTCATCCGAATAAGAGAGAATCATATACAAGGAAGATATCTGAAATTTAATGCTGGGAAAGAGTTAAAATTAGAGATATGCAATAAAGAATAACGAGTTAGCGTGACCCAGTGACACAAATACAGGTAAAGTAGCCTAAGCTTTCCAGGTTTGCCTAATATGAATCACTCTTGTGATGTGAAGTGACAAATGTATCTCGAGTCATTCTGGGCTAATGTGGTTGAACAAGTAGACAACCCTGCATTGCACTCTATTACCTTGTTACATATTGTGACACATCAGAAACCCAAGATCCTACATTCTCATACATGCGGACGAGAAGGAGTTTACCGGTGAAATTTTTCTGGCGATTCAATTGTCTCAATAACAAATTTAAAAGTTTTACGCCCAAAGACTCATGTTAATAAACTGCTTCAGGAAATATTTGCTGGATATGAAGCAATATAACTCGACCTGTTATTTTAGATAGAGAGAAGAAGGGGTGTGTGCTTGGTGAGGGTTAAACATAATTTCCTACTGCACGAACTATCCTACTCTTCACAATGTACAAAACATTCGTGTGATGGAGTTGATAGCGTCCAATTCTTAATGTGAATGCTGAGTTGAGGCGAATTCCTGCATTGTTCATCCATATTTTCGACTTTTGCGATAATATTCAGCTTGACAAGAAAGATGTAAGAATGTAATATGACTCACATGAGGTGCTTTCTCTGATGAGGACAATAGGCCTCTTCAGAAGATCTGATGCAGACTGGATTAAGAGGAGAGTGTCTTCTGTGTTCTCGTCTCCTAATATTTCCTGGATGCAATACCAAAGTGTAAAACCTCAACTGCCAGGTGATCTCCAGTTTCTGACTTACGACTATACTGACTCGTGACACTAAGTACTGACCATACATGCCATAGCACCAACCTGTCCACTAACTGGGAAGCTGTTTCATGAGCGTTAAACCTGGAATGAATCCTCCCAAACTTTATACTGTATACCGACTTCCTACCGACTCGTGAACACCTCTTATAAAATTTCCCTAACCTTTTAAAATCCATTATTTCTTACGGGGTTTGCAACAGGTTAAGTAGGCTTATTCTCTCTTAGTATATGTTCCTTCTATAGACTTTAAATTACGACCCTTTCTCAATTTTAATCTCTATACGTTATTTCTTATTGCTCAACAAAGGGACCTTCAGAGACCTTCAAGAGAGGGAAATGAAGAAGGGAGCCTGAAAGGGAGAGAGACAAGGCCGCAAACACTCCAGATGCAATCGTACACCTGGTCTCCAGGGCCACTGGAAGATCATCTCCATTCTTCCACTCCACCCCATTCTGCTTGACGATCTGAAGGATGCTCTTCCTCCGGTCTTCATCAACCTTTGGCACTTCCCCTTCATCACCTGAAAGTATGGATTAGGGTCAACATGAAGGAAACATCAAAGCAAGAAATTAAAGAAAATCAGTCCGGTGTTACTGCACTAATTAGCAATATAAGCAAGGTAATCTTTTCACGGAGTATCTATTCAGTTCAACAAAATTAGCTGATACATAATTTCGGACGTTACTATCTTCCGCCATCCCCTTCAACCGTATCTTCAGATGTATTGCCTTTATAGACTGTGGCAATTCCATTCCTTTTATTTCACATGGGTTCGGTGGTATCATATAGTAAAGGGAAAAGGCGGACTAGGCATAGAGGAAATTAATCGGTCCTGCTATTGTTTAAAGTTTTTCAGTGCTATTATTCATTACCACAAACTATAGTCTGTATCCATGACTTTGAGGGAAGATTACTGAACCTACCGATCAATTTTTACCCTCGATAGAAGGGCGCTTAAATCTCGAACTCTTGATTGAGTTCGAGAATTTCTTAGTTGTCCTTCGACTGCATGAAGTGTTCCCAACGTTTTGTCTCAGGGAACTATTTGTTCATCAATTTTAAGTCATATAACATTGCTAGTGAAAAAGTACCTTAGTAAAAGCCAACGCACCCAAAAGCAATGCCCTTAGGGGATGCACCACAAAGTATTAAATTTTTCTTAAGCTCAATAACACGTCAAGTATGCGTGTGTCAAGTTTCAACTTTTCATTTTGCCCAATCCACTAGGACCAAGAAAAAAGTCTTGAAAATGTATTCCCCTCTTATAAAATTTTCCCACAGGTGATGTTTCTGAAACTTGACATATTTNTGCTTGGTGAGGGTTAAACATAATTTCCTACTGCACGAACTATCCTACTCTTCACAATGTACAAAACATTCGTGTGATGGAGTTGATAGCGTCCAATTCTTAATGTGAATGCTGAGTTGAGGCGAATTCCTGCATTGTTCATCCATATTTTCGACTTTTGCGATAATATTCAGCTTGACAAGAAAGATGTAAGAATGTAATATGACTCACATGAGGTGCTTTCTCTGATGAGGACAATAGGCCTCTTCAGAAGATCTGATGCAGACTGGATTAAGAGGAGAGTGTCTTCTGTGTTCTCGTCTCCTAATATTTCCTGGATGCAATACCAAAGTGTAAAACCTCAACTGCCAGGTGATCTCCAGTTTCTGACTTACGACTATACTGACTCGTGACACTAAGTACTGACCATACATGCCATAGCACCAACCTGTCCACTAACTGGGAAGCTGTTTCATGAGCGTTAAACCTGGAATGAATCCTCCCAAACTTTATACTGTATACCGACTTCCTACCGACTCGTGAACACCTCTTATAAAATTTCCCTAACCTTTTAAAATGGTAATAAAGAATGCCCCAAACGTTGTCCAATTCATCCGAATAAGAGAGAATCATATACAAGGAAGATATCTGAAATTTAATGCTGGGAAAGAGTTAAAATTAGAGATATGCAATAAAGAATAACGAGAACAAAGGGACCTTCAGAGACCTTCAAGAGAGGGAAATGAAGAAGGGAGCCTGAAAGGGAGAGAGACAAGGCCGCAAACACTCCAGATGCAATCGTACACCTGGTCTCCAGGGCCACTGGAAGATCATCTCCATTCTTCCACTCCACCCCATTCTGCTTGACGATCTGAAGGATGCTCTTCCTCCGGTCTTCATCAACCTTTGGCACTTCCCCTTCATCACCTGAAAGTATGGATTAGGGTCAACATGAAGGAAACATCAAAGCAAGAAATTAAAGAAAATCAGTCCGGTGTTACTGCACTAATTAGCAATATAAGCAAGGTAATCTTTTCACGGAGTATCTATTCAGTTCAACAAAATTAGCTGATACATAATTTCGGACGTTACTATCTTCCGCCATCCCCTTCAACCGTATCTTCAGATGTATTGCCTTTATAGACTGTGGCAATTCCATTCCTTTTATTTCACATGGGTTCGGTGGTATCATATAGTAAAGGGAAAAGGCGGACTAGGCATAGAGGAAATTAAAGCCAGGACGATAACAAATTTCAAAAAGTCACGATAATAAGTAATGGTGTTTGATATCAGACATAGGTACTGAAACTCCCTTCTAATGACTTGGATGGCTAGTTAAAAATGGGAGCTATCTTCCCGCGTTAAATCTCGAACTCTTGATTGAGTTCGAGAATTTATCTAAGTTGTCCTTCGACTGCATGAAGTGTTCCCAACGTTTTGTCTCAGGGAATTATTTGTTCATCAATTTTAAGTCGTATAACATTGCTAGTGAAAAAGTACCTTAGTACGTTTTTGCCAGTGAAAAAGTACCTTAGTACCTTTTTGCCAGTGAAAAAGTACCTTAGTGCCTTTTTGCTAGTGAAAAAGTACCTTAGTAAAAGCCAACGCATCCAAAAGCAATGCCCTTAGGGGATGCACCACAAAGTATTAAATTTTCCTTAAGCTCAATAACACGTCAATTATGCGTGTGTCAAGTTTCAACTTTTCATTTTGCCCAATCCACTAGGACCAAGAAAAAAGTCTTGAAAATGTATTCCCCTCTTATAAAATTTTCCCACAGGTGATGTTTCTGAAACTTGACATATTTCCTGAAGTCAGTGTCCCAGTAGGCAAGTTCAAATCAGTTTCAGGTTTCCATGTCTCTCTGTTTGACTGAAAAAATATGCATTTAAAAATAATTCCTACAGAAAATGTGTGGCTTCAAGTCATGTTCCTCCAAATTGATTTTTTCTGAACTCTGCATCTCAAAAGCTACTTGTGTATCAAGTTTTTTTATTTCTAAATTCTTTAGAACATGGTTAGAATTAGCGTCACTCAGCCAGTCACAGACGTCTTTACATATTAAATGCATAATTTATGGGAATACTATGATCCGTAATAGGCACCCCTGAAAGTCATAACGCGTACATGAACCACTCAAAAACTTGCAAGATTTCGCTCAGAAGGTGCTACATTTCGGTTGAATCGGCCCATCTGTTTCCTAAAAATCAAAATGGCATAGGAATCAGAACCGTTGGCTGCTTGAAGAAAGTGCCAGGTTTTTTTTCCTTGAAACTGAGACGAATTGCAGACGATTGCGAAAGCAGGATTGATTTGGATATGTATGATCTGTTGTCTCCGCGACGAGCTGTTGCATATATGGAGTCATGAAGGCACCCTCCTGCTGCCCCTTCCTAAGAAAATATTTTTAAAAAGCAGCAATATCTTGCATGAAATTCATTCGCTCACCAAGCCACACATAACCCCAATCGATGAATGGTGCGGAGGAAAACAGCTCTTCGGAGATGGCTTTCTGTGTCTCAATAGGAAGAAAGTGAGAGAAGGCCCCGGTGGTTCCATCAATGATTTTTCCCCTCTTCAGGGCATCCGAACCAATTCGATTTCCTGCCTCGTCCCATGTCGGACACTACAACAACGAGGAATATATACACCTTTTGTCGTGGTAAATCTTCCATTCGAGAAAGTACACAACTTCACTTGTATTTCCAGTGAATGAAATTGGTAATTCAAACATTTATTTTTATTAAGGTATGATTCAGAAAGTAGTTAATATAATGGAGGTATGGTATGGAGGATATGTTGTTAGCAAATGATGATTGCCTTGCGTGCACGCCGCCACAGCTGATGCAAATATGCTTTTGCACTGTTTAAATAGCGAAATAACGTAGATGAGATATGAGTGAAAAAATAATCACACTACCTATCGGACATTAGGTCGTGATTGTTGCACACTTTAGAAAATTCAATTTTGGAAATGGGCTTGTGTCTGAAAGAATAATTTCACCATTATGAAGAGTGACAAACCTCGAGGTACTTCTCTTGAACATCTAATTCTAAGAGGATGCTTGGATCATCCTCTGCGCTTGAGGAAACTTTTTTCCTTTCCAAATGACCCTTTTCCATGATTGTTCTCCATAGGTGATGATGTTCTGGGAGGTTATCGATGATGATCAGTTGAGTCCTAGAGCGGGAAAGCACCTCCAGCAGCCACTCGTCACTAACGTTGAATGAAATGATGACCGAAGCCTCGCATCCGCGGAAATCCTTGAGGTGCTTCACTTTGACGACAAGTCGACTTTTTTCAAATGTATTTTTCAATGGTATCAGCAATCCTTCATGTGATATCAGTATGTGAGGGAATTCGCCATCTTTTTTCACATTTAAAGGAAGAGAGTGGAGGAGGGAAGGTAGAACAGTTGCGCTCTTGCCGCATGTGCCCCCTCCTCTGCAGATGTATCCTCGATGTTGTCCCTTACACTTCTCGTTTTCCATGGTGATGTATTGAACGGGTGGACTGAGTGCGAAAGCTGCAGGCATCGCAGGCAAAGACAGATTCTTTGCGTCTAACCTCAGCGCAGCGGGAGTCTCATTTTCTTGGATATGCTTCAGGAGAGCCATGTTTGTTGGCGGTAACGCAAGCTCTATTGCAGCACACTCTTCGTTTTCTTTTAGCGATTTTACTACTTCTTCCACTGTGACCTTTGAAGTTGGATCTAAATGGGGTTTGAATACGAGGATTAGCTTCATATTCACATCTTGTATTTCCTTCATGCTCCTTGGAAGCTCTAAGAGAGGACAGTCTTCGACCACCACTGTCAAGCGATCGGCCTCCTCTCCTTCATCTTTCTCCTTCCCCTCCATCTTTCTTCGCCTTCCTTCTTCATTCTTCTTGATAAGGGCTTCATTGATGATGCTTTGGATAGAAGTGACTTTCTGTGAAGATACTTGAACAACATATACATTTGCCTTCGTCTCCCAGCGCTGTCGATGTAATTTGTGAGATAATAGACCACCGCAGTGAAGAATTATGACTTCGCCTGCCACTTTTCCGATTAATTCATCAACTTTCCTAGATTTCCCCGAGGCAGGATAGCCAAATATCCCACTGATCCGAGATCGAAGCATTTTACTCACGTCGTCATCCTCCATATCTATTTCAGGGAAGGATTGCTCAGTAAAGTTCGCCTTATCCAGTTCCTCGACATCTTTCTCCTTGTATTCCTGCCATGCTCTTTCCAAGCTTAATTGCAGATCTTCTACATTCACATTACCTTTCTCAATCTTCCCTCGAGGGATTAGTTTCCGAATGCCAGAAAACCTCCCTGTCTTCCATTCTTCTTCCTCGATCACGAAAATCTTGTTTTCTCCCGTTGTTGCAACCAGTCGAGTGTAGTATTGCCACTGTGAGTGTGGAAAATCGATTACCACCGTTAAGTTCTTCGGGTGACATCCTATCATTTCTTCCTCAGTGACTACGACAAGGGGGAACGAGCCAGCTGTGGCAGTCTTCCCAATAAACTTGTCTGGGTTGCTACAGAAAAGGATTGGGAGTTCGGGGTATAAAAATGTGAGAACGTTCAAGAAGGCATCTCTCTTCCATGCGTCACTAATGACAACAAAGATGGCCCTCTTTTTCGGCGACTTCCTGCATTCCTCATATATGGCCTGCGTTGTGTGCGAAGCCCTCACAATCTCGCAGATCAGTGTATCTGTGCATTCGCGATGGAGAGCTTGGCAAGAGATCATCTCGAAGAAGCGTGGGGAGAATTCTCGTTTTTCTCCATCTATATCCATCCATAGGGAGCGCTCAGATGATAGGAAAACGCGTCGGGAGAAATTTCCGATGTCCAAAAATAATTCAGATATTTGTTGGGCATTCCTCTTGATACTCTTGAGGACTGTAATGGCATGCCCGGCTGGATTGACCTCTTCGAGCGGGAAATCCCTTGTGTAGGACTGATCATTGGGTCGGAAGGCAATAGTGATCGAATTCACCTCTAAATCGTCGACCCATTCCCAATGCGCAGAAAGGGCTTCTGTACTGATAGTATTAGTGAATCCAAGAGTGATGGGGACTTCATCAATGAGGACGTGTTTTCTTCTCCCCTCCTTCTTCAGGAAATCCTTCAGTCCCTGAAGGTCGTCTTCAAGGCGCCTCACTCTTCCGTCCACTACCTTAATCATCTTTCCTGTTGTTGGAGCAGAAATGAAGAGAAATGAGCATGTTGGCTGATATGGTTTTAATAATGTAAGCATTTAAAAAATCCTTTGAAACTCATTTGTTCACGCCTCATTATTGCTGATACCATCGTGGCGACGTAAGTTCACTTAAGTGCGAGAGTTAACCTTTTAATATTGAACAATTTCCTCGTTTTGTGATTCTAGAGCAAAGCAAAAGCATCAGCAAGAGAATATTAACTCTTTTCATCACCTAATGGTTCCTTTCATTTCACATCCTTCCACGAGTCAACATCCAAAAAAACAGTGAAGCGCAAAGGCGATGTTTAATTGAGGTTCGAATTCCTATCACTCCATCCCATGAGAAATATTCTAAGTCCATGCTTAAATGGTGTCAGGATTATGATCTCCTCTTCAGGTTCTTTTTCCCAAGTGATATGCAAACTACCCTAGTGGCACATATTATTGAATCAACATTGAATCCATGTTGTTTCAATGCTATGTGCTACTAGGGTAGCGTTACTTTTCAAAATGTTTGTCTCACAATGGTGAACGTTAAGAATGAACGGGTGTAATTGAGTTATTCAGAATAGCAACAAAACTTCCAAACCGCCCATGTTTTATTTAGCTTGAATGTCACGCAAAATAAATTTTTCGTGAACACAATGTTGATGAAGAAACTCCATGATCATACTCACAAATACTTCACGTAGCGGAAATGGTAGCGAGAAGCACCAGGTGGCAAGCATTTGTCTTACCTTTGAAGCTCTGCTGGAATTCGTCAGTCAAGTCTCCTCCTGAAAGATTCACCACGAGCACTGCATGCTCCTTTGATTTTGCTCCATTTTCCAGGGCTAGCCGCGAAGCTCTCTCTTTGAGGACAAAGGTTTTTCCTGTGCCTGAAGTTCCAGTCATGAAAATCACCTTAGAATTACTTTTAACTAGTTCCCTCTGCTGGGGTGTGAGAATCATCAGCAACCTCTGCATTTGTTCCTCAACCTTAGTGTACAACTGAGTCGGATTGCGCGGGAGATCCACAGATGATGCTGCACAAACATAGAGGTGGAATATCTCCTTGAAGGTTTTCATTACGGGAGAGGACTTGGACCACGACTTCTTTAAAGCGATTCCCTGTCTTTTCAAAAATGCTGTGAAACTTTGTGGATCACTTATATCCTCTGAGGTAAGGATTCGTGCCCTACATTCCACACAATCGATTACCTTGCGCAAATCTGATTTATTAAGCATTGGGAAGGCTGGAAAACCAGCTAATTTCACGAATGGTTCCAAGAATTTCCCACATACAGTCTTGAAAACAATGATGTCCTTCTGGATTTGTTTATTTGCCTTTCCCAGTGAAACTTTGAGCGTTTTTGGGCATGCCTTCGGTGTTGTTCCTTTTATTTGGAAGAAAATTCCCAAAATGTCATCTCCAGAAATCCCAGTGCAAAACACGTCATGATCTCCACTCCCCAGGGCTTCACTTGAAAATCCGTGTGCAATATTCCCAAAAACCCTATCCCTTGTTTTCTTATCGACTCCTTTTAGCAAGGTGTCTTTGAAGGAGTAGTCAGCCACAGTCAGAGAGGGGATATCCTTGAATGCATCTTTGAGTTTAAAGAAGACTCGGGCAACAGATAGCTGGTCTCGAGGCATCTCGTCGTCTTTTTCTCTCCTTTGGTCCTCTCCTTGTTCGTTGACTTTATTTATATTTAGGATGTACCCTTCTGGCAGTGAGTAGGCCTTAGTGCCAGCTTGGGGGTAATGTTCAGAAACATATTCGTCTGCAGCTTCCTTCCAAGGACGCACCTTATTTGCTCCAGTGTATATTTTAAGATACTTCCGAATGTCAGGTGTAGTTGTGTGTGTTCTTTTGTGGCAGCTTTGGAGACGCCCCGTGCTGGAAAACTCGTGGCAGAATCTGCATTTTGCCTCATGCCCCTAAAAAAATGTAATTCTTACCTTAACCAATGAAATTCATCACAACAGTCAAGGGACGCAGTAGCAACTTTATTTAACCTCTTCCACTAATAGAATTCAGTCTCCCGTATTTCTTTCTGAAAGCGCCTGAAAAAATGAAATTGGGCAGCCACGGGGTGGTAGAGGACAATGTGGGCCGATTGCATGAATGATTTTCATTTGAAACATCGATTATCGGTAGTAAAATTTTCAAACATTGTCTACAAAGTATTAGTTAACCACTGTACTCTTTTGATTGCGTGAACGATCCCCAAGCATGTTTTCATTGACAATGGTTGGAAGATGGCTAAGCGTCCTCATCTAATATATATACCATCGTGAATGACTGCATGACCAACGGTAATTCTAACTGTGTTCTATGTATGGTAGAAGCCTGAAATCTGGTACGTTAGTAGCTCTTAGGAAGCGGAGTTCATATTAAATTTGCCTTTGAGGCACATGCCCCTGGTGGCCGATTTTATTGGGGGGGGACGTTTTTAAGCAAATACCTTAGCTACTCTGTCAAACATTGGTACATGGAAAGGTGAAAAAAGCATTAATGTGTCTACTGTTACGGCAATTTCAGGAAAATGTTCACTTTTCAGATATAGCCATCCCCTGGGATGATAGTTTTTTGGAGCGAAATACCTTTGGGTAAGAATTTGCTTTGCTCCACCAGAGAATGGGTTGAAGGAAAAAGTGAAACGTGACATTGAAATAGTTGTGATGATTTCTTCGAAAAAATTCGATTTCAATGTTCATACCGTCAAGGCAAAATTGGGACATTTTCACCAAATATGTTTCCCTTGTAGCGAGGCGGGAAAATATAAAAAAAATTATTGACATTGAAGTCGTTATACTGGTTTTGATCACAGGAAAAATAACATTTAAAGGTTAATGCGAATTTCAGTACCTGAGTGGCTCACCACATTCTCATATATACTGGTAATTGTCCCTTCAGGTCCCCTCAGGGCACAGTTTCCGAAAGGGAAGTGTTTTGAAATACTTTTCAGTTCCATGGAAGCTCGTAAAAATCGAAAAAATAAATTTTGATTTCACACCGCCAGAAGTAGAAATATATGCCTTGGAGTTTATCGATCGAGGAGCAATATACCAATCAAATTAGAATAAGAAAAGGACAGAAACTGTCTGAATGGGGGGCTTGATCCAATCTCTCATGGTTCAACATATTGCAAATCACTTTTCCAGGAACTTGTTGCAAACGTAAATCCATTGTTATCATAATATAAAATTTCGTTACAGACAGTATATCTTGTTTAAGAGTTAAGGCAGCAAAAAGCTGCAGGCGAGAACTATTAGGACACCTGATGTAACGCTGTAACACAAAAATAAGATGCGAACTGTTATTATGAATCTCTTGGCAAATGAAACCCAAAAGCAGGAACATTTTTGTTAACGTTGCCAGGGCAGGTCCGAATAATTTCAACATGAATAATGCTTTTATGTGTTTATCACAAAAGTCCCAATACTTCGCTTCTGAAGTTCCTGCCCTAACGCATCCATAGATTCATCGAACTAATGTCCCTTCCTCAGAAGCACACTTTCACTACTGCGGAAAATTTTCCTTCTTGGAACACTCCTGCTTCCTTTGCCTGCACAGAATATGGCAGTTCTTCACTAACGCCTCGACTTGCCTTTTACCCTGTGGTAATGGAGGTTCTGTACTCTAATATTTGGAAACTGGCAGCTCATCATTAAACCTCGACTTAAATTGCATGCATATATTGTGAATGGACAACGTTTCCCATGACAAACCCGTCATAAACTCCGTTCATGATTTTCGCTTCCCAATACATTTATTGCCCTTTTTCTTAATGAAATGAATCCTCTTTTCCATTCTGGAGCCAACTTGCTTAGGCAGTAAGTCACTCCAACTTGAAGCCTATGTGCCCCAAGAAGAACTTGGAATCGCCTCTCAGTAACATACAAAGAACCCCTGAAAAATATACCTATGCTGTAGAGATCCTTACACCTTTTGTATACGTCAGTCAACCTAAAGCTGTAGATGTGAGTCAAATAGTATCTCTATCAGTAAATACATTGAAAGGTTTGTATTTCAAATGTTACATAGTGTAGGGTCAAATATGACAGGAAATTGTGTCATTTTATATTATCCTATAGTGGAATGCCACCATAGAGATGGTCTGGAATTACCCACTTACCCTATTATTGCTTTGCCTTGGATGATACCCTTCCATTTTGACAGTAGCGGTATGGAACAGAATAGAAGTTTGATGGCCCCTCTTCTGCTTATTTCGCTCTGGAGAGGATCTGTGCAAAAAGAAAATGTGGCATTTAATCACAAAACTATATAGTATCATTTCGTTGTTGTATCTATTCAATAATTTGCAAATAGGTTAAATAGAACTTACGTATTTGAGGCAACTGTTTTTTTTATTATAACCTTCCCTCACTTCTCCAGTTCACGCATTAGGTCACTTGGGATGAGGAATCAAAAACTGTTCATTTAAAGAAGACGTATCCCCTCGTACCACATAACTAGTTCACAAAGTCGTCACACTTCGTCCTTTGCTCCTGTTCGGTATTAAACCGCTCTCACGTGATACTTCCTCATTGCAATGGATCCTTTCTTTTCATCTTCTACTGAAGTGAATCTCAGAGAGGCTACCAATTCGTGAGGCGAGGAGCAACACTTGGAGTGGGGAGGAACGAAATGATTGCTTGTGTGCAAAACCCGCAGAGGTTGAACACTCACGATAACCAGTGATAAGAAAGTCAATGGTAGTCGGATAACAAATGTATCACAGGGGGGGATCTAGACGGGGATGTATATTTGCTCGCACTTGTTATCTGAGATACTCTGTGCGCCTCTGGAGGGGGATAGCTCTCCCCTCCATTATTGGAAATGAATGGAGACAAATGGCCCCAATACGGTACCAAACCCCATAGAAGAACAGCAATTCTCAACCGCAAAGGAATGTTTTTGCTCAGTCACATCAATACATTGTGCAGTGCATGATTCATCCTGTGAGATATATGCATCCGAAAACGAGACGTTTGGGCCTAAAAAAAATGATCGAGAAGTTATGCTTCTTAGCATTTTAATGCCTGAAATAAATGAAGTTTGATAGCATTCGGACGGGACACATGTTCATAACTTACAAACTCGATTACTAATCGAACGAATGAAACATCGAATGAAATGAACGTAAGTAAATCCTTATTACTAACGAAATAACCCTCAACACAGATTCGTGAGGTTCTGTCGGTGGGGCAATGAAGACAGCAATTCAAACCAGAGGACCACGATTGATGAGCAACCAAGGTCCGGAGGTTAAACATAGATTGCGCGATCCTGACAACTAGATAGGCCGAGCGACAAATGTGTCCTAGTGTGCTTGTGTGTGGGAGACAGCAGTACAGGCAAACGCTTCGGGATATGAACTGCGACTTTTGACCAAATTCTTCTTCATCATTCGCGGATGTGCCTTAACGAAAATATGCTGACATATCGACCTCAAGAAATGCGAGAGAGGCGATTTTCACGGAAAATTGGAGATTTTCTCTCGTTTCGATATTGCAAGGCCGAGGAGACCGGAGTTGGCATGGTGCTTCTCAGGGGACGATGCCATCGCTCATCGTAGTGCCTCCCGCCTGCTGCAGTGGATCGAGGAATTTCAAGCGTCCACGATGAAATGCGGGATGAATCTTATATTTGTCGCCACGTGCGTTCGCACGGCTCCGCAAGTAAGTCCATCACCGCGGTTTCCACGTGGCGGTCCAGCTCTCAAAATGCAGAATTTCAAAATTGCAGAATGTCATGTTCTTTCATCACTGCTTACTTCACCTTCCAACCAAGACTTTGGAGGTACATGCCCTGGGGGTACACATTTTGGGGGAAGAAGTTTTAAAAAATATATATATCGTGATGTATAAGGATGTCATCGAAAGAAACCGTTGTATATATGTCATTGTTTCGGTGGTGTAGTGGTAGCACATCGGACCGGTAATCCTGAGGCCAGGGTTCAAATCATAACCATTCTATGCCTTTTTCTTTCTCTTGCCTTCCATGTCCCATTGCTTCAATAAAACGGATAGACATGGAAAGCTGTAACGTGGCGTGGACGTTCCTACTGACACGATGAGTTCAGGAGAAATGCAAAATTTTAGATACATCCCCTGGGGGCATAATTTTGGGGCCGAAGTTTTCAAGTATTTTTTTTGTCCTGGTGTATAGAGCAAGTGTGGAAAGAGGAAACTTGGTACATAATTACCTACCGTGATGCTGTGTGCAGAAAAAGTCAGACTTTGGAATGAAATGGCCTGGGGCATGAATTTCAAAGGGGGATGTTTTCACAATTTTTTTGCATTAGTTAAACCGATGGACACGGAAAGCTAGAACTTTGCTGGAATGTGACTACCAAGATAAGGAGTTAAAGTAAAATGTTAAGTCTTAATACATCGCCGGGGGAAAATTTCTCGATGGGCTATGTTTAAAAGAAAAGAAATTGTCGTGGCGAATTGGACAGAAATGGAAAGGTGAAACTTGGCACACGTATAAGGGACGTGATATTATTGAGCTGAGGGAGTATTTAGCTTTCATGGTGCATCCCTTCTGGGCATAGCTTTTGCGTGGGTCGGCTTTTCCAAACATGAATTTTCACCAGCGAAAAGGGCAAACGTATAATATTGACACTTGGCGGGCATGTAGTTCACTGAGGCTTGATTTCGGTAAAAATGGTACTTTTCGGTTAAAACGCACAATGGCATATATTTTGCAAATTTTTCTGAATTTTCTGAACAAGCAATTTTCTGATCCTGCAAAACGGAGGGTGCTAGAAAGTTTAAACTTGGTAAAGAAGTACCTGATGAATAGCTTAGTTAAGAACAATTCTACTTTCATATTATATATAGATGATCGTGAGTATCTGACTGACTGACATAAGTAGCTATTCACATGCTGAGTTCAGGAAAAATTCCACTTTGGTGATGCAAGTCATAGGGGCACACCTTTTCGGGGAACATCTCAATACTTTCAAATAGTTCTCTTTGCTTCAATCAAATGGAGACTCACGGATAGCTGTAGCATGGCAAGAACGTGACTGGTGAAGCACTCAGTTCAAATGTCAATTGTCAAATTTCCGAAGTATTTTTGGGGTGGCTTATTTATTGGGGACGTAATGTTTCCAAAGAATTTTTCATATCCTACCGAATCGGGCAGAAATAGAAAGTACCAGACGCACGCATAACAGCCGTCATGTTGATTTAAGGAAAAAGGCAACTATTGTTGTGCGTCTCCTCAGAGCGCAGCTTTTCGGTGGATGGCTTTTCCAAAAACATTTTTTTCTGCCAACAAAAAGGGGAAACGTATAAGGCTGAAATTTGGTGGCATGGAGTTCCATGAGTCTACATTTCAGAAGGAAAAAAATTTTCGTTAAAACCCATCAGGGCATTTATGCAGTCCCATTTTCCAGAGTTTGTTTTTGATCTAACGAAACAGAAACAGAAAATTTAAACATGCCTCAGAAGTGCCTGTTTGATGGCTGAGTAGAGGAAATATCCTACTTTTGAAATATGTCCGCTTAGCGTAGATTATAGGAGGGAAGTATTTCAAAATGTATTCTCCACCCTTACAAAACGGGACACCAGAAAATATTTCAAGTTAGGCACAATAGAAATCATGAGTAAGGATTTTGATTAAAAAATCAAGGCTTTTGTCTCCATATATCAAGTGTTTCAATGGGGACATGCTTTAAATACGTGTTTGCCATTTCGCAAGGAATTAATGAATTAATGACTTTCCAAGGTAATGGAGCGCCGAAGGCGCAACCATAGTATCTGATATTTTCGCGCAACCAAAGCCAGATGACACCAAAGTAATTCCTCCAGCGGTTGAATTCTTGAAGCAGCTGAAGTTAGTCTCCAATACCGTCCAAACGGCAGCCGATCTTTCCCCACATACGGAAAACGGGAAGATGTTTAAATTCTTCATTATTACGGTCTTAAGAGGCGACCCTGTCCTATGAATCTGCATAAAATCACCGACTCAAGAAATGGAAGGAGCACGATTCAATTTTCAAGGTGACTTCCTGGGAAAGGGAATAAAAGAGAGAAGATGAAACCTATCATCATAGAGGAGATCGAAGCTATTATCTTCAAGCATAGTATCGCTCTTGAAACAAACTCTGTGCAGAGCGTGTCTGCCTCTTGCCTGTGAGGTATCTAATGATGAGATGCAAGTTTCCGTAATGTGACTGTAGTAACTCACGCTTTTCCAAAGAAGAAAAAGATTTGCTGCTATGACAGGAATATCAAAGGAGTTGTTGACACGTGTAAAGATAACAATTTGCATGTGTATACGAGGATAATAAGTTCCAGCAAAAGAATAAATTCCTTCAAGGGACCTCTTCAAATATGTATGCATATCCGTTGCGATACTTTGTGCGTCCACTCGGATGTAATGCCTGAGGTCCAAACGTTATTTAAAGATGACTCATTTGAATTCCCAAAAGAACTTGTGATGGGGATCACAAGATCACATTTGCAGCCCTTTGGACGGGACGTAGCCATCAGAAATTTACAGTGAACCGCTTCGATTGAATGCAAAATCGCCAGAGAATAGACTTCACAGACCCAAAAATTGAGAGGAGGAGAGAGGAAGCTTTTCCCTACTTCTGAGGGCGAAAGGACATGAGAAAGTTCGATGAACAATGGGGGAAGAAGGTAAATTGAGTATGAGTTTATCCCCATTAACACAATGGTTCTAGAGAAACTACACCATTCCTGGAAAGATATGCACCATGTCCATCTTCCAATTTCTACTGACAAGCAAAGTTGAATATCGCAATATTCCCATTCGGGATTGGTACCCTCTCCGTTGTAACACCAAGGTCTCTCCTTTTCGACATCAGGATTCCGACAGTAGTTGTGACGACTGTCCATGCCATGATCGGGGAATGCCGACAGGGTAAGTATGTTCGAATGTTCATTTGGCGGTTGGCTCAACCAGGGTTGGCACTTCATCCCTGACCGTGTCACATTCTTCAACCCTGAGTACTATCGTCCATGCTCCGTTTGTTGGCATTCCGCAGACTCTGTGCAGTCAAATTTAAACATGATATATTTTTTATATGAAGGGTCAAAGATCAAAGGCATTCGAATTTTGATATAAAATGAGTATGCATGAATAACAGCTTGAAATAAATTCACAAGATAGAGCTAAAAGACACCTTTAAAATGAGTCCTAAATAAACATTCTATGACAAATAGCTAGGGAGTTATTGAAGAAAGTCTGATAGAGGTCAGCCGGATCAGCTAAAATAGGTCAACCTTTTGTGACCTCGCCACGGACACACCATTGGTCAGAAAAAATTATTTTGGATTTCCCGTTTTTAGGTCAAACGCTACCTCCTCACCAAATTTCAGCCAAATCTATGATTGTCGACCAAAATCTCTGGTCGATCTGACCCGAAAATCTTAAAAAAATGGTTCAAATTGTTACACTCAACCCCTTCAGTGCGCCTGGGTTTCCTTCGTCTTGGCAATTAAGACGTCATTCGGGGAAGTTCTACACCCTAGGATCGCGAAAATGAAGATTTGCATGGGTAGCCAGAGCCGATCAAAATAAGTTAGAGATTCGATGTGTCGTTCCGTACATTCCTTGGTTTTACCTCACAAACAACGCACAAGTGTCCCTTGCATGCATGTTTGAAAATAAATTACACTCACTCGATGGAACATATATACACGTCGATGCGTGCGGTGTATTTAAGAAGTAGCCAAGGGTTGTACGAAACGACCCATCGATCCTCCAACTTGTGTCGATCGACTCTGGCTATTTTCCCATTGTCTCCTGCGGTAGCGAGGATAGCCGTCATAGATTTCCCGTGTCTCTGCAAGAAGCTCATTAGGAAAATCCTTCTTGGTGGTTCCATTCTCCATGCAGATGGCATTGGTGGAAAAAGTTCCGCATTGGACTGCGGGGCATGTTTTTCTTTTCCACTATTTCACGGAACCTCTAGTTAATTGCTTAATAAATAGGAGATTGGTGGCCATATGAAGCAATTAACGCAGATTCGAGTAGCCAAAAACTAAAGAGACGAATGCATTCCAACATCGCTCGTGTCATCTCATTCTTAACATTTTAAATAATTTACCGTTCAGCAGGGGTATTGCGTACTTGGGATCACTGTGAATTGCTGTGAGTTAACTGAGTCAAGTCATTTATATACAGTATCGTAAGTCCATCCTTTGAAAACAACCTTTCTTGGTGTACAACATTTAATAAAGCCAAAGGATGCATGCCATTCATTCTTCTAGGCAGAAGGGTGGACTCGTGGTCCAGGTCGTTTGTGGGAACTTAAATTGTATACAATGGATCTATATAATAATAGCCGAAGTTCTCCTGTCCTCAGCCTGTCCGTCGGAGGCCAGCACTAGTCGACTTTATCGAACGCGATCCGATTGGCCCTACTCCAATCGTCGCAACCTCCTGATCAAGAATTCGATCACAGGACCAAACTTTACGAAAACCGGCAGCCAGGTGGTGTTACTTCGATCGGGCTAGCCAGAATTCAGATGATGCGTCTAAGCTTCAGGACTCGTGTTTCTGGGTGAGCCGTTTTTCTACGCGGCGCGGCAGACGCTTCTGCCATCCCAGTACGTAACGTTTATGCCGGCCCCTTCAGCGCTTTCATTGTGTGCTACGTTCCGCTGGCAGCTGTTTGCTCGAGAGCTTTTTTCATTAATCGACATGAGCGCTAACGGGAAGAAAATGTCTTTTTTGCTTGCAGGGGTAAGCGGCTGGAAAAATTTACCCCTCTGATAGTGTTCCTCGCTTGCATCCAAAACGGTAATTTCATTGCGGGGCCGGCCGCCTGATCCGCGGAATGAGTAGGTTCATTAGAATTGATTCTCATCAAGAGCATGGCCCAAAATCATCCTTCATTCAAAGTCCAGACGGAACACGTTGAAATCTGTTATATAAGGAAATTGGGGAATGGAGGGGTGGGGGTGAATGACGGGACGCACCCAATATTATTGATAAAAATATGACATTAACATTTCAGCTGTGTTTTTCATTTAAATGATAAAGAACATAAGTCGATTCACCTCAGATAGGAATACTAAATGTTTCACGGGTAGCAGGTAGTCCGTGGATATGCCAGCATTTGCACTCCGAAAGGGTAGAATATATTTCACAATTACAAAAGTGTCTCACAGTGATGAAATATCGCATTAGAGGCATTCATGAGATTCACATTCCACTGAAAATTCAGTGAAAGTCGAGTCCGAAAAAGCCCCGAGGGAAAAACATTCTTGTTTCCTTACTGGGAGAAACACTGCTGTAATGTGTATGAAAATGATTTCACCCAGAGACACACAAACAAAGATCTAAATGTTCCAAAGCTACGGTCAAAATGAGCATACCAGGAAAACGTGTTATGCAATACATTTTGAATATGGTCACCGCAGAGATCGGAAGGGTCGTATTCAGGAAATCACACATCCTTTGCATAGAGTTGTGCACATTGGTTCAATGCATCAGGTGCAGAAGTTATTCAAATGTGATTAATTTCGTTTCGTAGAATATCTTGTGATTAGGATGATCACATTATGACATTTCCAGCACTTGCAATGAGAAGTATCCTCTTTTAAAGTTACTACGGATGGCTCAAATAATATTGAAATACAAAATGATCGACGAATAGACAGCACGCACACAAATCCTGAGAGAAGGAAATAAGAGCGTTCCTGCGCTACTGGTGGTGAAAGGGCATGTGGAAATGCAATATAAATTGAAGAGAGAAGACAAATAGATTTAGAAATTTACCTCAGCTGCACAATGCTGACATACTAGCCCTTTCCTGTAAACACAAGTACCATGTCCTACTTGCAATTGCTTCTAACTGGCAACGTTGAATGTCGCAATATTCCCATTCAGAAAATTCCCGAAATTTACAGTGAACAGCTTCGATTGAATGCAAAATCGCCAGAGAATAGACAGCACAGGCACACAACTTGAGAGGAGGAGAGAGGAAGTTTCCCGCCACTTCTGAGGGCGAAAGGACATGAAAAAGTTCGATGAACAATGGGGGAAGAAGGTATATTGAGTAGGAGTTTAACCCCAGCAAACACATTGGTTCTAGACAAACCATACCATTCCTAGAGCCATATGCACCATGTCCATCTTCTAATTTCTACTGACTAGCAAAGTTGAATATCGCAATATTCCCATTCGGGATTGGTACCCTCTCCGTTGTAACACCAAGGTCCCTCCTTTACGACATCAGGATTCCGACAGTAGTTGTGACGACTGTCCAGGCCAGGATCGGGGAATGCCGGCAGGTAAAGTATGGTCGAATGCTCGTTTGGCGTTTGGCTCAGCCAGGGTTGGCACTTCTTCCCTGACCGCGTCACATTCTTCAACCCTGAGTATTCTCGTCCATGCTTCGTTTGTTGGCATTCCGCCGGCTCTGCCAAGTAACCATATAAATAGTAAACATATTAGTTAAATGCCGACATACTTGCGCGATTTAACTGTTCAGTGAAGGAACGAAAAACGCTGAATGAAGTGCACTGCATGAGAGAAACCATTTATGCAAGGCCTGAAATGGACAAAAATGAAAGGAATAATTTATACGATTCGTTGAAAACAAATTCATTTTTTCAACCTCTTCGAAGTTTTGAAGGTCAACTGGAAAAGTAAATCTGGCAGAGACGGTCTCAATTAGGGAAAAATCAGATGGTACAAAAATGCGTCAAGGAAAAAACGGAAAACGACTGGAAATTAAATAATAAAAAACCGAACCGCCACTAGCAGAGTCAAAACATATTAACATTCATTACAACCGTTTCATCAAATCAAGGGATTATTCATTGCTGATTAGGAGTTCTGACGTCTTGATTTAAGAGGCTCACTGACGAAAAAATTTCAGACCTTTCGGACCACGGCAGAGCGGGATGCGACAGTACTCCCAGGTGGCATCCTCAACGGTTACCAGACACCAGGGCCGAAGCCTCGGGCCATAATTCCGGCAGAAGTTGCTGTGGTCCCGAGTTTCTTTGGCTGGTTCACCTGAACGCATCCATGTGTTAAAAAAATCCACGCTCTTTGCAGTTGGTTTACGGTCTTGAAGCGGTAGGTGGGAGAAATATATATTTGGAAACTCGTGAATCTCCAATTTCTCCCAAGACATGCATTCCTTCCCTGTTTCCGTCGTGTGCTCTTCACCATAGTATTCCTTTCCCATCTCCGTAATCCGACATTTTTCGTAATTTGGCTGCATAACTCCTTCAGCTATAATGGAATGGTGATCAATTTTAGACCCATTTGTACATGTGCAGGGGTAGCAGAAGATCATCATGCGTCCCAGAGTGAGACGCACTTTCATATAATCTGCTTCATATGTGATGAGTATTGATGCAAAATATTAAACAATCTAGGTTATGCAGCCATTCGGAGTTGGTGGATATTGAAGTAGTAGAGTATTTTAACACCTGATGACGTGCTGAAGCACTAAATGGAGAATACTTCGCGAGTGGCAAGTATCCAATTCGAATATAATTGCTCATAATCAATACCCAATCTCGAAAGTTTCCGATACATCCAAAGTCTATTTATGCATGAATGACAACAATTCCTAAAGAGGGATAGAATACTTCGCGAGTGGCAAGTATCCAATTCGAATATAATTGCTCATAATCAATACCCAATCTCGAAAGTTTCCGATACATCCAAAGTCTATTTATGCATGAATGACAACAATTCCTAAAGAGGGATGGGATCGTTCTTCGTTCTTCCATTACATTCTTCTTTCAAAAATCACGTTTAGCCTCAGGATAATGTTTGTTGCATGGAGCAGCGATAAATTAAGTTCTCAAGTATAATGTGAAACAGTCTCAATATTTTGTTTTTTCATGAACTTTGGAGGAAATGAATAATAAAAGCATGTATACCAATACGTCGCAAGAAATATCCTTTCGAGAAGGAACCATGACCCCTCGGACTGCTTGGCACGAACGTCTGTGATGTATTGCGAAAAGTGAGTTATTTGTACATGCGTAAAGAAAAGTGCAGAAGTCTAATCTTTCGGTTTCATTCGGTCATAATAGTGGGAGCGGACAAGGACGATGCTGCTATCGCCTTGCTCACTGAGTGACGCTAGTTGACTTAAATGTATATTCCTGAAAGAAAATATTACGCCATCGTTTCAAAGCTGATTAATGAGGATTCCATTTGGACTTTGATCCAAAGACTGGTCTAACAAATTTCGAAGCCAATGAGGAAATAGTAACTCCCTTCGCCTGTACTGCATTTTGCAATGGGAAGCGCAGTCTGCAGAATATCGTCAAATGCAAGACATGTCAATCCACTCCTTCATGTGCGGACTTTCGTCCACATCGAGACTATATATACATTAATTCCGGTATATTTAAGTATATTTCAGAACTTAGAATACTTCGCGAGTGGCAAGTATCCAATTCGAATATAATTGCTCATAATCAATACCCAATCTCGAAAGTTTCCGATACATCCAAAGTCTATTTATGCATGAATGACAACAATTCCTAAAGAGGGAATGGCGATCTTAGGGATGGGATCGTTCTTCGTTCTTCCATTACATTCTTCTTTCAAAAATCACGTTTAGCCTCAGGATAATGTTTGTTGCATGGAGCAGCGATAAATTAAATTCTCAAGTATAATGTGAAACAGTCTCAATATTTTGTTTTTTCATGAACTTTGGAGGAAATAAATAATAAAAGCATGTATACCAATACGTCGCAAGAAATATCCTTTCGAGAAGGAATCATGACCCCTCGGACTGCTTGGCACGAACGTCTGTGATGTATTGCGAAAAGTGAATTATTTGTACATGCGTAAAGAAAAGTGCAGATGTCTAATCTTTCGATTTCATTCGGTCATAATAGTGGGAGCGGACAAGGACGATGCTGCTATCGCCTTGCTCACTGAGTGACGCTAGTTGACTTAAATGTATATTCCTGAAACAAAATATTACGCCATCGTTTCAAAGCTGATTAATGAGGATTCCATTTGGACTTTGATCCAAAGACTGGTCTAACAAATTTCGAAGCCAATGAGGAAATAGTAACTCCCTTCGCCTGTACTGCATTTTGCAATGGGAAGCGCAGTCTGCAGAATATCGTCAAATGCAAGACATGTCAATCCACTCCTTCATGTGCGGACTTTCGTCCACATCGAGACTATATATACATTAATTCCGGTATATTTAAGTATATTTCATAACTACCTATTTCCTTCATTAGAATAAGTAAATCCTTCTATCATTTTCGGAAGTTAAATGTTGGAAAATTGGAAGAAATAAATCCTTTTATCTATCCTTCCATTATCCATATATTCCATTCACCCACTCTTCCCTTTTTATTAATAATATTTTTTTTTCTTTCTCTTGACGCACATAACTCTCAAGGTGATTTTCCTCAAGTGACAGACTTTTTTCGCTCTTTCATAATAGCTGCTGCTTGCAGGATGTTTTGTGTGACGTGATTTGAATGGACTGACAACGTAGTTTTCGCTCCGAAATGGTTTGGATTTAGATTCATTTGTTCTATCCTAATCTCTTGATCCTAATCTCTTTCACATATACCATGCTTTCCATTGTAAATCAACTGCATATACGAACATTATAACTAAATGTGCATGGATTTTGATTACTCACTTGACAAGTGTTGGTCTTGAGACTCCCTGGTTCTTTTCGAATCGTGGAAATCGCAGAAGGGCACATCGCAATATTCGCACTTCAGATTTGGCCTTCCAGAATCTCGAACATTGCACCAAGGACCACCCGGATACCCATTCGGGTTTCGACAGAAATTGTGGCTCCCAGTGAGCTCATCTGGGAGGGAGCCTTTTCGGCTCCCACGGATCCTGTCCACGACACTGCTGTCATGATCGAGCCACGGAATGCAATGAAAGCCTGAAATGGTCTTGTCCTTCGTGCCCATGTATTCCCCTCCCTTCTGGGTCAACTTGCACTCCGGTACGCCTGGACGTGGAAACACAATAGAAAAACATTAGTTTCATAAGACTCATACCGTCTTTGTACGTACAGTATAACTTAAAACAGGGTGGAACTTAAAATCCACTGTAATACTTATCAATTTTAATGCAAGATGTTCATAAACGATTGGATGTTGCTTCAGAAGCGTATAACCTTAAAATAAACTAGGAATGATACGATATTGTTTGCAATAGCCTTTTGAATGCATTATCCGTTTGTTATCCGTTGCACGTCTGTTATTGCAATATATGCACGTGTCAAACGTTTGGAAGGGGGAGAAAACGAGAGAGAAATTAAAAGAGGCTAATAAGGTGTACGAGTCGGACGAGTCGCGGCTACCGTGCAGGACAATTATTGAGGCTTTGTGAGATTTAAAGAACTGGGATCTAGCTAGTTATAGTTCTCACTTAACGAAAATTGAGACTTTTCTTCAAGAAACCATTTTCGGGCAATAATTCGATTCCAATGTGGCAGAAAAAGTTTCGAAATTAATTTTACAATGTTCCACAAGAAAAGAGAAGGTTTGCTTTCTAGGTCATAGGTTAAGGTAAGGACACAGGTTGATGAATACCGGTATGCTTACGGATGGTTATGGGTGTCACGTGCAGGGTGTTCCAAAAAAGGACACTCTTTTCAATGCGCATTTCAGGTTGCATGTTTTTTTTCCAGTAACATGAAGTGGAAAGAATGAAGAATTACCAACAAAATGCTTGTTTTCATACATGAAATATCTTACACGACCCTTGTGTCCAAAAATGTGAATCTAAAAATGTTAAACTCCTCTTTATTTCTATATCCTACAATTAATTATAACGTTCAGAGGCTTAAGTAATTAGATAATGTGTCGGGTGTGATATATGTCATTAAGACTTATATGTACAGAGAATAGTGCGTCGACCGTAGAATGTATTGAAATTCCCCTTACGAACATAACGCAGCACATTGGAGATGTTTACTTGTTTATTTTCATGCCGGAAGTCACATGATGCCGCTATGAAAATGTCCTGAAAATTTTTTTTAATGTACGAGCGCATTGGTGCTCGCACGCTAAAACTGCCAAACCCACTAACCCAGTTTACCCGCATCACTAGGGGTAAGCCTCGAACACGTATGCTTTAAATGCATTAGTGATATTATTTGTTCGTAGAGCGCCGAAGGCCCGCACATAGCGAGTCTTCATGCCCTTTTTCCAAACAAACTCGCGAGTATAATATATTAATCAAAAACGATTTTTTTAAAACTTTAAATTCCCCAACAGCCTTCATTCGTTCATAAGCACCCTACAAATCGTAAGATGTATCAACCGCAAGCTCTTGATGAGTATTCTGCGTTGGTGATTATTTTAGCTGAAAAATATAAGAAAAGTAGTAGTACTTTTAAATGTTAAGAAGTGTGGGTTTAGGCTCGGCAAGCATGGTGTGGTGTGCACTCGCCCGTTCAACAACGTTGATCGGAAGGACGGAAGCGCCCGTTTTATCTTCTCGTCCAGGAACTCCGGGCTGATCAATCAGGACTTCATTTAGCAAATAAGATGTGAAGCGTGTGCGATGGAATAAGTTGATAAGTTGGAGTCCCATCCGCAACTATACGTGGCCACCATTCAATTACAAACTCTCATAGGAATTTTAAGAGATGGGAACGCTCTCCCTTCCCTTACATCGGTGGCTATGACCACCGTCAAGGAAGCAAGCGTTTTGTCGCGAGAAAGCGTTTTGTCGCGTGATTCTTCCTTACCACATATTGCTGCCACAATCCAGCAATATAACCGTAGGCTAGGGTTACTGGAGTGGGGAAGCAGCCCATGGAGAAAACTCAAAGTATCCTTACTTTTTCGCATAGTATCCTTCCTTTTGGCGCCCCGTCAACCGAGGCTCTCCAAAGAGCATGTCTTTTCGTCCGTATCGGTAATTTATGATTAGGTGTGCTATGGGAGCTGCTGTCTTTTCATGATTGGAAGGAATGCAGAGTGAGGTAAAGGAGGTAAGTTCGCCTAATGACGCAAAACATTATTAACATGGTGTATCATAAGAAGCAGGACAACCTAGAGTAATCTTGCCTAGGTTTCTTGGCAATACTCGACCCTACGATAGCAGTCCTCTGACAAAGGCTGCACCCTTTTACACGTAGGGTCTCACATATATGTATTGCTGAAAAAAACGTATAAATGTTGAAACATATATTCTCTACCTTCTCCCCGGAGGTTACATACAGATCTAGTTAATTTTAGCGGATCAATCTGAAACAACAACATCGTCTTAGCCCGAAAATTCATGAGGGGAATGAGAATCATGACTTTAGCTCAGTCTAAATCGATTATGCGAACTGATTATCCCTTCGTAAGAATAAACTTATATTAACTCTGCGAAATCCAAAATGCCGCCTCCCAAAGCCGCGTCTGGAATGAACTCATGAATATTACCCAAGATCACCCTACCTACCTGGATTCCAGGCGAATGCTTATGACATTTCTCACTGAAATCATTGCATTGAGGAATCCAGCAAAACTCCATCTGCAAGTCATTATCATTCACAAAGCACCAGGGTTTCTCCAACCCCGTTGGGTTTCGGCAGTAGTTCTCATGGAAGGATGGGTCTTGGTTTAGGAAGTGCTCCTCGAAGAACAAGATCTCAGTGAACCCTGCAGGTATGGATTCGTAGGAAGAAGCCACTTGCTTGGAATCCCACGTAAGGCAGGATTTCCCTGTCTCTGTCACGCTCATGGTTCCAAGGTATTCCATACCCATTTCCGATAGGAGGCATTCAGGATAAACCGCCGCTAAAATGAAAATAGACATCAGGCATTTGACACTTTCATTAAAATGTTGATTAAACGCATGCAGTGGGATGCATCACACTGAAGCTCATCAATCCAGTGAACTTCGTTCCTCATGCTTGGTGGCATGCCCTCCTGGAATGGCGATCAGTCATGGCAATGCTGGCTTATCTGGTTCTAGAATTGTTCGAAATATTTTAGTCAATAGATGCAGATACTAATGCAGAGAGTCACCGGGGGAAGAAATCCTGGCAGAGAGTTCATACGATCACATTTCTGGTAAGTACGATATGGTCACGTTTTTCGATACGGTTCCCCTACATCCCCATTGCTTCATGGATTTGTGAGAGTCATCTTTGACACTGTGTTGAATCATTTGTTTCCTTTGCGGAAAACGTGTATCCTCCAATTCTCGGTCAGTAACTTCTGGGATTCTACCTACCAGTTTTTAAGTAAATTTTCTGAAAACGCCGGTCTGAATTTTAGTCGCTATCGAATCCCATAGTCGATATAGTGTTGGCTTCAGTAGTTGAAAATCCTGGATATTATCGTATACATGATGACGGAATGATTATCAGAAGGGCTATTTAGAATTGCTCACGTGGCAGTGGACAGAGGGTGGTTGTCTGTTCAGCTTCAAATGTGGTGAACCATTCATCAGGTCCCATGTAGGCGCAAATTGTCATGTGTACCTTGTGGCCGTCAGTGAATCCTTCTGGGTGCGTGCAATTGAATACCACCTTACCCCCTCGTGGGGCAGGATATGCACCAGTCCAACCGTGGAAAGCTTCCTCGGCATTTTGGATCTTGGGGTAGTCCGTAAGGCATAGGACTGCATAGGAGGTAAGGGTAGGGGAAAAAATACATTAAGCAGAGGCCCCTATTTCTGGTAAGGTGACTACGGAGCATGCGGTAATAAGTCTTAGTTTTAGTTACATTGTGGTAGCAGGAAGCTGTGCTGAAAGTTAATGTCAAGGTTTTCCCAACCTGAGCTAGTTGCATTTGACTACCTTGCATTAGTGTCATCAGATACCTGATTACCACAAATGTAACTTCACCTTAGATCGTTGCTTAATAGTTTCAGTCGTTTCCGTTTCTGGAGCGATTTTCTTCATTTTCAGTGTACTCCCAAGACGAGAGCAACTCCATTCCTTTTTTTTTTAAATCTATATTTGTTACTGGAGTCGGTGAGGTATTCCAGGGGCAAATTGGTCAGAGCAAAAACAGAGTATATTATAGAAACTGTCAATATGAGAAGTTTTCGAAATTTCTGAAAAATATCAAGCAAGAGAAATGAATAAATTTAGAGAAATAATTTATTAGACGGGCCGGATGAGCGGGAGTTTGGCCTTTCGCGTCTCATAGGAACGGCTAGTGGAGATATAGGTGAGGCTCATCTGCGTTGAGGATGATATATGGGGAATAAAGAAGGTGAGGAAGTTCCAGAAGGAAAACGTAGCAGTGAGGCTAGAAATGGTCCACCCTAAGTAGTATCGCTGCCAAGTGAAAGGTGACAATGCCGGGTTCCCCTTAAGTTACAGATTTTTTAAGATGTTGGCTATTTGGCTTTTGACTGCATGAGAAGCCCCAGTCCCTGTGTCTTTTAATTGGGCTCAACCTGTCTGGTTTACAGGTCAAATTGTAGTACTATCAGGGGTAAGAAGAGGAAGTGAATGTCGCCCAAAAACACGCCCAGACATTGTATAAATATACTCCGTAATAATAATAAATCAATCGGGAACACCTGGAAGCACATTGGGGAACCTTTGGAACATTTTTCTCGACATTCAGATGTTTCAAAATCTCGCTAGAAATACTTGGAACTGGCAGACTTGGATATCTGGGAGTAGGAGAGAAAATGGAAACTTCTCGTTCAAATCAGGCGATCTACTGGGTGGCCCAAAAATATGCATCAGTGCCTTTCATATGTTCTTAGTCATATATTTTTCAAGATTGATCGGTTAAATTATTTGTATGCAAACTGTCATCGATTCGTGGATTTCAAATAAAATCTGGCTTCATTTGGACGAAGTATTTAGGACAAATAAAACGGTTCAAGGAAACTGAATATTTCCTGTCCAGAGACAAAGAGTTAAAGCACAACGAGTACTGTTTTCAATTAATCATACAAGGTAAGCGTCATTCTATTTTTCAAGCCATGTGGCGTCATCTACTCCAAAGATCTCCTTTAAAAGATACATGTGGAAATAATGGAGTAATGTTGCATTCAAGAGACGATAAAAACGTGAAAATCTACAAAAGTCACGCGTATTGTTAAAGGCAGCCTCTAGCTGTTTCATCACATGTTATTAATTTATCCCTTATTTACTGCATTGGATTAGCTCTATCACTCATTGGCCCTGAAAAATTGCTTCCAGGAATTTTCCAAGAATTCCAGTTTCTTGGTGGAGGAGGAAGACTGAAAGCCAGAAATGAATATTCGTCCACTACCGACTCGGACTACCGATTCGGACTCTTCAAATTGGAAAAATAACAAGAAGAAAAACACACTGAAAGACAGGTGTCTAGTGTTTTTGACTACCTAGTATTATAAGTTCCATGGATATTTCATGCAAAGTGGCCATCTCATAAACAAGTGCATACCCAGGACGTTTCGAAAATAATTTCCGATGTTCGGATGACTGCCTCCAGCAAACAAATGGACACAATGTTGTGAATTTTGACGCGTAGACCAATTTTGTCCTGTGGAAGAAAACGTACCCAGTCATGTGGTGGTTCATGATGGCGTTATGGTCACTCTAGATCAGTCGTTCCCAAACTTTTTACGGCGAGGGCCTCACGGACCCTTGGTCCCCCTTGAGTGGGTCGCACTAATAACGTTAGTCAATCCGGAGTAGGCCGCATTGAAAAGATCCAACACTTGTGCATGGTTCATGTTAAATCTGGCCATCGACCTCTTAGTCAAGCTACTATGGACCAATAAGTCCCTTTTAAAAATGAGCAGCAATAGAAAACTGCCTATTCCTGCCACATCCATACGTACTTCCACATTCGTAGTCACGAAACTGCCACTAATTGGAATCAGGTCTCATGCAAACGCATCGTTTGGATGATACTTTGTTGCAAGTTGTATTATCGATAATTATTTCTTTCCTTTTCTCCTTTACTTCACTGACTTGGTAGGAAATAAATTCTTTCTCGACAGTATGTGTATGCTCCAAATATTAGGCAAGTTCAGCAGGTGCACACCTAAATACATGATCATAAAAATGTAAACATGCATAATAAGTATCTGAATATCTAAACAATGACTGAACTTGCTAGTTTTCAGCGAATGGTTCCAAATCTGTGATTTAAAACTTGCTCATAGTGATTATACAGAAGTGCCTCTAAATCAGCTATTTGAGAAAAACAAATTAGTTCATATCAGTGGGCCGCATGCGGCCCGTGGGTCGTACATTGAATACCATTGCTCTAGATGGTATCTTTTGTCCACAAATGATATACGAGAGATATCCAGAAAAAAAGGTTACAACAGCTGTTAAAAATCGAAAAATGAATATATTTCAACCAAATTTACAGGGTATGTTCCAAAATACGTGTTTATTTCTCAACATAATCGCCGTCAACTTCGATGCACTTCTTCAGCCTGGGCACCAGCATTTTTATACCCTCGTCGAATACGCTCCGCTCCACCTTCCGGGTTCGATTCCCGGCCGTTCCTTGGGTTCTTTCGACCTCTCATGCCGTCCGAGTCCCGAAGTTCCCCTCCGTAACAATACTAATGAAATCGAAGTTGAAATCCCTTCTTTTGTCATATACATCTGTGATGAAGCAATCATCATGTACAGAAATATTTACATCCAGATAATGGGCATATTTGTATGGGGGGGAAACGGTTTCTTCGAGCTCAAGACAATCATGATATATTTGATTCAGCTCATCCTGTATTATACTGTATATATATACGAGGGATCTCCAGAAAAAAAGGTTACAACAGCTGTTAAAAATCGAAAAATGAATACATTTCAACCAAATTTGCAGGGTATGTTCCAAAATATGTGTTTATTTCTCAACATAATCGCCGTCAACTTCGATGCACTTCTTCAGCCTGGGCACCAGCTTTTTTTATACCCTCGTCGAATACGCTCCGCTCCACCTCCGAAAACCACTTCTCTACTGTCTCCTTCACCTCCTCATCGTTGGAAAAACGTTTCCCACCCAAGAATTCTTTCAGTTTCGTGAAAAGGTGAAAATCTGAGGGCGCTAGGTCCGGGGAATAGGGTGGGTGGGTAACAATATCCCATCCAAAGGACACAAGCAGGTCCTGAGTCACACGAGCGGTATGGGGTCTGGCGTTGTCGTGAAGGAGGGACACACCACGAGTCAGCATTCCCCTCCTTTTGTCTTTAATCTTTTTTTCCAATTTTTTTAGGGTCTCACAATATGTTTCAGCATTGATGGTGGTCCCTTTGGCCATGAAATCCACCAACAAAACCCCTTTTCTGTCCCAAAAGACAGATGCCATAATCTTCCGCTCTGAAAACTGAACTTTGAATTTTTTGGCTGATGGAGAATGGGTATGGCGCCATTGTTGGGACTACCTTTTGGACTCAGGATTATAGTGACATACCCAAGTTTCGTCTCCAGTCACAATAGAGTCAAGGAACGCCTCACCCTTGATTTCATAGCGCTGAAGAAATTCAGGGAAGAGAAAAAGATTCGTTTGAAGAGTGCCCCAGTTGTGCCACAATTCATGGAGCCCATCTTGCACACATTGAAGGAAGAATTCTTATATAAAACCGGCAAGCATGACCTGCAGTCGCAAATTCCTATAATAAAAATGCATAAAACCTTCACAGTAACCATTAGGGTAACTTGGGGGAATATGGACACCAAAAATGAAATCAGGTTATAGCGTCACGTCTAGGCGAAATGAAACTTTGCCAATATTCAGAAAATATTGATTGTTGTCTCCTTTATTTATTCCCAACAAGATCCGTG